TTCTGTTCCCCATATATATAGATGTATTCACCCTTATGCCAGTACCACGCTGTCTTGGTTACAATTGTATTTAACAGTTTTATAGTAAGTTTTGAAGTCAGGAAGTTGAGTCTTCCTATTTTGTTCTTCTTTTTAAAGGCTGTGGCTATTATGGGTCCCTTGAATTTCCATACAATTTTAGGATCAGCTTGTCAATTTCTTCAAAGAATTCATCTGAGATTTTAAAAGAGATTGCATTAAATCTATAGATCAACTTGGGAGGATTGTTAATTTAACAATATTCAGTTTTCTGATCCACGAACGTGAGATGTTTTTTCATTTATTTAGATCTTCTTTAATTTCTTTGAACAATATTTTATAGCTTTAACAGTATATGTCTTATATTTCTTTTATTAAATTTGTTCCTAAGTATTTTACTCTTTTTCATTCTATTACAAAAGGAATTATTTTCTTGATTTCATTTCAGATTATTCATTGCAAATATATAGAAATATAATTGATTTTTATATATTGATCTTAAATCCTGCAACCTTGCTGAACCTGTTTATTAGTTTTAATAATTTAGTGGATTCCTAATGATTACCTATATATAAAATCATGCCACATGCAAGTAGAGATAGTTTTACATTTTCCTTTCCAATCTGGAAGTCTTTTATTTCATTTTCTTGCATAACTGCCCTGGCTAGAAGCTATAGCACAATGCTGCTATTAGTCAGGGTTCTCCAGAGAGACAGAACCAACGGGATAGACAGATACGGAGATGGAGAGGAAATGTATTAGGGGAACTGGCTCACATGGTGATAGGGGCTGAGAAGTCCCACAGCAGCTGTCCTCAAGCTGGACCACTAGGGAAGCCTGTACATTGGCTCAGTCCGAGTCTGAAGGCCTCAGAACCAGGGAAGCTGATGGTGTAATTCTCAGTCCTACGCTGAGGGCCTGAGAACCCGAGAAACTGCCAGTGCACGGGCCAGAGCCCCGAGGCCAGAGAACATGGAGTTCTGATGTCTAAGGGCAGAGAAGAAGTGTGTCCCAGCTCCAAGACAGAGAAGGAATTCGCCTTTCCTCTGCCTTTTCTTTCCATCTGGGCCCACAGCCTATTGGAGGGTGCCTGCCCACACAGAGGGACCTTCCCCGCTAGGTCCACTGACTCACACCCATCTTCTCCAGAGACACCCACGCAGACACACCTGGAAATAAGGCTTCATCAGCTGTCTAGGTCCTACTTAATCCAGTCCGGCTGACACCTAAAAATGAAGCATCACACATACTGGAGAGAAAGGATGAGAGTGGACATCGTTGTCTTGTCCCTGATCTGTCCGCCCTTCACCGTTAAGTACGATGTAAGCTGTGCAGTTTTCACAGATGCTCTTCCAGGTTGAAGAGCTTCCCTTCTATTCCTAGTTTGCTGAGTGTTCTTTTTCTTTGTTTTTTAAATACGAAGAGGTATTAGATTTTGTCAAGTGCTCTCTCTGCACAAGACATGTCCCTCTGCACAAGACATGTCCTTCTGCACTTGCTGTTCCTGCAGATGCTTTCCCTATAGCTGCGATTGCTCCTCTTATAGGTCCGCACTTCAGGGGAGTCCTGGACCACCCTGTTCAGAAGTCCCCCCATCACCGCATCTTCCCCAGTCACCCGACCATATAACCTTCCAAGCGCTCAGCTGTTACTGTTACAGGAACACATCCGGATGACACTCGCGTGGAGCTCAGCATCTGCCAGCGTGTACTCACGATGTCAGTCTTCACAACCGCAGTATCTGCGAGGTAGGTACTACACCACCATCATCCTCGGGAGGAAGAGGTTACGTGTCTTGCCCGAGATCATGCAGTCTATAAGTGTCAGACCCAGGATTAAAACCCAGGCCACCAAGCTACAGACGCCATTCTCTTAAACACTTGCTAGCGTGCTTTTCAGTATTCCCTTTCCTCACTTGGTAACTTACTTACTAACTGTACATAAGCACTACCAACCCCATGTTTTGCTGTATCTCTGGCACCTGATACCATGCATGGCTGGTGTTCAGTGAGTATTTAATGAACAAATAACACGGTCCCAAGACGCCCCACGAGAAAAGTTCCGCAGTACTGTGCTGAGCACTGCCCATGACACACACCCATGGAGAGTCACAGGCTCGTTAGCTTTGACGAAGGTCGCTCAACTTTAATCCAATATTTAATCCCACTGCATTAATAGCCCAGAGATCTGTGCTCCAGGGAACACACTTTGAGAAATAGTGCCCCAGAGAGACAGGTCAAATAGCACAGTTCCCAGAAGGATGCTTCTGCCCCCACTTCTGTGGCTGGCTCTGCTCCCATCTAAAAAGTCTAATTTAGAGTCCCTGAAAGCTCCTGCATAGCCACAGCTCAGTTCAGAGAGAAAACCACAAGGTTCGGTTTTCCTTTTCTTTCCTGGAGTTCCTCAAGGGCACATTAAGATACACGACCACTGAGAAAACATGAAGATTTTTCCAACGATCACTGGAACGGCTCAACTCCCGTGTGTGTCTGTGGTCTCAGACCACATCACAAAGGCAGCTGTAATGTTCTCAGAGTTCTGGTTTGTTGAATGTGATTCAAGCAAAATCACCCGCCACAAGGTGCTTTACCCTGTTCTCAGAATGCAGCAAAACCAAGGACATGTGAGCCACAAAACTGCTGCGTTCCTTTCCTGCACACTTACCTTAATGCGCCATTCAGATCATGGCTTCAGAAGTGGAATGACTTCACAGCCATCGCGGCTTGGCTTTCCCCGTGCTCGAGGTCATCCACCTGAATGCTCTCTGAAAAAGGAGAAAGAAAAATCTCTATTTAAGATCTAAGAAAGAAAACTGCAAACGATATAATACAACCTCATATATGAGCAAAGCAGGATGCTGTGCTGTGATTAATTTGCTGTTTCTGAAGAGGTTTTTACCTTTCAACTATTAACATCATCAACATCGACTACAAATTATAGGCAGTGGTTAGAGTACCTTTTTAAACTCCTTATAAAAAGTACTCAATAAAAGAATGCATTTCTGTTTCCTTCATCTTAAACACAGAGAATAAAGTCATTTCTATGTAATTGTTCTCCAAAGCTCTTATTTTTCTGTGGTCACTGAAGTTCTATGTATTTGGTCTATAGGCAAGAGTCATTTTTGGTGACTATGAGCACTTTCTAAATTCAAATGTACATCAGCGCAAAACGAGGAGCCTTGGGTATATGAGCCACGTAACAGGGAGAGCTGAGAAAACAGAGGAAACGGGTTAGAACTCCCCATGAACTGGACGTGTACATCCAGAAGGAACTAACAGGCCCGATTCCTTAGAAAAAGAGAGGCTGGACCAGGAAGTTAGGAGACTGGGCTAAGCCGTCTAAGGCATCCAGAGTGAGCGATTTTAATAGAACTTGGTCTGTTCCAATACTTCTAGGCAGAGACAATCGTTAACATTTATTTATCTCGAAGGCTAAGGGGTGAGGGCAAACCCACCTACGCTGGAACGTATGGAGCAGAACTAACGCAAACGCATGTTTCCCCGTCGGTTTGTCCGACGAGGTGTAACTTGTACAGAGGATGACTCACAAGGTAACAGAGTCACCCCTCAGGTGCAGAACGGCAGACAATCTGTGTGGCACTTTGTGACTCAGCCTGGGCGAGGTCCCCAAGGCAGCCAGGCTCCAGCCCTGCACTCCCACGCGGCAGAGGAAAGCCCCTGTGTCTACCGGCTGGCTGGCGGTTAAGACGGCCGTGGCCCTGAGAGATCTTTTATTTGAGGCTACGGAGGTACTTCCTCTTGTGCCTTCCCCGCGTCTCGTCGGCACTTCCGCGTGTTACCTTTGGAAGAAGCCAAGAGAGACTCTACTCAAGCACAGAAGGCCCGGAACTGGATACCAGCCGGCAACACGCCGGCACTCGCAGGCCCGGGGGCATCCCTCGGTCCTCAGCTCATATAAACGTTCAGGAGGCATGTTGTCAGGAGCCTGCTCTACCTGGTGTAGTGAGGATGGGGCTCCTTTCCAAAAGCCCAGGCCCAGAGGCAACTTATAAGGAAATCATCGTGTGGTGGGCGAGGGGCAGAGGGGCGTCAGCCCATGTGAAATTCCCACGGATGAAAAAAAAAATTACTGTCACCGCTGCCTGGTGAAATTCAGACCGCCACGAACTCATTACTTGAAGCCACAAGGACAGTTGCGGTAAACACAGACAAATTATTGGGTTTAAGTAGACTGTTTTTTGTGCCAAAAAAAAAAAAAAATCATCTTTCTTCCTCCCCCACCAATCTGGTTATTACAAAAAAGCTTTGGAGCCTTGTGAACTGGGCTAGACCAATTTAAGCCTCTCTTTTCCCCTGGGGTTCCTTCTCAGGACTCCCAACTGGTTTGGAAAATCCTTTGGCTGCTGTGGGAAAGGAGAGACCCCCTTCCTGCAGCAGCCACAAAAGAAGGAAAAATTAAATTATGCAAAAGGGGAACAGGCCACGAGAACCACAAAAGGCCAAGAGGAAAGGGCAGGAGTAGAGATCGTGGGCAGGACAGGCATCCTCATCCCCCTTCTTGAAGAGAGTGGCACTCTCTGCCCAGACACCCACATCTGGCCCTGTCCACATCCTAGCGCCCATCCAGACCAGGAGCCCTCACACTCGCAGCGCGTGGAAGAAACTTCCAAGGGCTCTGTGCGTAGAGATGGGGACAATCTGCAGTGCAAGTCATGAGTGCAAGGACCATCACTAGATAACAAAACTGCAGAATACAGCAGAATACATCGCCAGGAAAACGCAGCCGTAGTCGGCTGTCATGCAGTCAGGACAATTTGGGAAAAAGCAAAGAGCAAGAATACAGCCAGGAATGGGTCCACATTTAGTGACAGGTTAAAGTTTAAGAAACTAGTCAAACCGGTATAAAAACAGAAAAAATTCCAGAGGAAAACACGGCAGTGGGGAATGGACGACTGATACAGCTCGAGCAGCAGGAAGGGCCGATGCTAAGCCATAGGCCAGGCGAGGGTGCGCCCAGTGCCCCGGGGCTCTCTGGACCTTTGGAAGGTGTTTCTTCCTGCTCAAAACAAACTTACACTTGGCTTTCACAGCTCACGTGCAAAGGCTCTGAGGAGACTCTGTGACCAATTCTAGACCAAATGCTCTGGAGGGGACAGAAAGGCATCCTCCTACTCAACGTTTCAAACCTCTGGTTCGACAGAAGCTGCCCACGGAGGCAGCCACGTGAGTGACAATCCCGAGTTCTATTCACGAGCTACCGCGCTACTGCAGCATCGCGGCCTCTGGGTCCGGAGCTCCCCGTTACAGCCCTCAGGTACGGCTGCCGTGAGACCCAACTTTCACTCGGGCTGTTTTCCCCCATCTTTTCCAGATGCCTAGAGCAAGGAATGCACGTTCTCCCAGATACTGCACGGAGCTCTGGGCACTGCCCCCTGCCCCACACAGGTGTCAGGATATCGTTCAGGATTCGGGCGGGATGCCTGCAGTTTCCAGAAGACCTTCTCTGACTGCCTCTCCCTCTCCTGAATTTGTGCCAACACCCGATTATAAATGATCACTATAGCTAATTCTCAACCATCGAGGGTTCGATTAGCCACAGTCATAATAATAAAAACAATACTTATTATTATTTGAACATTTTAATAAAATAAATAAGTAAAATGCCTCCAAATCAACAGAACTATCCACCCATCAGAAGGTCTCCACGGACTGGAACTACACAATGACCTACACACATCACTGTGTGTCTGGAGCAGTGAGGGGACAGCCTCGTGCCATCACCCCTAGGACAGGTACTATGTTAATGCCCAAGGCTTGTCGTCGGAGAGCATTAATTCTACGACTGAACAAGTGGATGGAAAAGCCACTGGTCAGTGACCGGACTGTCATGTGCAGCAGCCAAGATTAGAAGCAACAACAGTCGGGCGGCGCCATTAGGAGACAGGGTGGCAGGGACAGTCCCCCCTCCCACTGCAATGCCTTTAGAAAGTGAAAGGACAGTGCTCCACGGCTGTCCGGGCTTCACATCCATGTTGTGTGCATGTGTGTGCGCACACACGTGTAGAACACTTGGAGTAAGAACAAATGATGGACCATTTTAAGAGTACTGACCACTGGCACGTTTTATTTGTCAAGTAATTTATAGATTTTGTGATCCTGGACTTGTAATACTCTTATACATTAGGACAGCACCTATACAAGAGTGAATACATTCCTAAATACTGGATTTTTCACTAAGTAATCATTGGTAGTTTTCACTAATAAGAATATGTTAAATTTATTGGTGACAACCTTTTGGCATTTTATCTTTCAATCAAGAGATACCTGTATTTCACATCTGTATGCTTTCCCCTAGAATTGGGCTGTGGGTTTTCACAAGCAGGACTCTTCTCTTGTACACCTTCAGCGGTCCATAGGCATGAGCCCAGTGCTCAATAGACAGATGCTGGAAGACGCACAGGTATCAGCGGGCAGAGAGGCAGCTCGTTCTCCCCGTGACGGCTTCCGGTACCCCGCACGCCACCTGCTGCAAGAAGATACTCACCATCAAAATAGCAACTGGCGCAACTGGCGCAGAGGACACAGGAAGGCAAGAGGGTGCTAAAATGAGCCCCACCGTCCTCCCTGGAGAGATCCAGAAACTCCACCCCCAACCCATTCTAGAGGGTAGCTTCCCACGGGGACATGGTTCCCACTCCACGGGCTTTATGTTGCTACTGGATGACCTTCCCATATTATCCCATGACAGCACGAGTTCTTTTTTTTGAGACAGGGTCTCACTCTGTCACCCAGGCTGGAGTGCAGTGGTGTGATCACAGCTCACTGTGATCCTCCCGCCGCAGCCTGCTCAGTCGCTGGGACTACAGGTGTGAGCCACTGTGCCCGGCATGTGGCTCTTAAAAGGAAATGTCAGGGCCTTGTACATTTTCTAGTGCACTCCTGCAAAACCCTGGGAGGTGTTCTGCCCCCAAATTCAAAAGATTATAGGTGAGTATTATCCAAAAATCACAAGTGGAAGAATTAAGTTAATGAGTAGCAATCTCAAGTTTAAGTTCTCATATATTTTTAAAAATTTACATTTATAAATTTTTTCAAATTTGTGTGGTTTTTTGGTGGCTCTACTTGCTTAATAGCAACCACAAAAATGAATAAACAAGTAGCAAAAGTTGAAAAAAAACTTGGCTGTGGTTTGATATACTCATTGCTATTAATACATAATATAAACTACAGTTGACAAGAAAAATACACACTAAGGACCCAAGTTCAGTCTTCCACACACTCTGCCCATCAGCCCTCACGGCAGGGTCAGGTCACAGACCCTGGTGGATTCTGGACTGTCGCTCCATGAATTAGTATTAAACGTGTTTGGGGACAGGATTTGTCTTAAGAGTTTTACAGAGCTTTGCCCTGAAAGAATATGTGAACGTGTTGGTTTGCATTTCAAATGCTGTTATACTCGGAAGGGCATCTCTGAAAGGCAGTAGCGGCTGTATCCCACGAGGCGCCGCATTTCTCAGACCTAAAGAATTGGATTTGCTTTGTAAAGCACAAGCGAATCTGTTAAAAACTATAGACTGAGAGCTGACAATGGAGTACCCTCCGGAACAAACAGCTTCCCAGAAAGGACAGCTTTCCAAATGGCCAAAAGCAAAGCTTTTGTTTAAACCACTCTAGACTACCTGTCTCCATTCACAATAACCTAATAAACATGGAGCCTACATGTCTCTGTTTAACCCCTCTGTTTAAATGATAAACTTACCTTAGAATTTAGAAATTAACCTTTGAAAGACTTTGTAACCGTTTGCTCACGTAAATAGAATTAGTTAAAGAATCTGTAGAAGCCTTCTGTAAAAGCCTTTTAAAAATCTGTTAACCTGAGAGGTACTACCTGTTGTTATGTAAATCTGTTACCCCTGACAATTGTTCACTATTTCCTATAAATTACCATGTAAGACCTCATTCGGGGCTTTTTGAGACCAACAGAGAGGTCTAAGCCCCCTGAGCTCCCGCTTTGCCTATAATCTTTATAAACTTATAAAACTATATCTTTGTCTCAGTGTATTCTTTTATTTCTTCCATTTTCCATTTCCCTCTATTATTTTCTTATCCCTTGCAACTCTACCAAAGGGACCCGCTTTTTTGCAGGGAACACTGGGCACGTTCCCCGCACTGGACGACCTTCACCTTCCTCTTCGTTTAAGTGATGTCCTCCTGGTACGTGTTACTGAGGTGGGTCTCAAGAGCTTCCAGCATGACAAGCCCCTTTTTAACGTCAAAATTTTCTTGTACCTGCCCCATCCCACGCCAGCAGCTGCACCTTTAGTAAGATGTTCATACTGTCAAAGGCTACGACGAATTCAGTAACACACCTCACACGTTTACATGTTCTAAGTCACAACGCTTAGGAGCATTTAAAGGAATAGTGCATCTGCGACACAGGTTAGCCTGCAGACAATACTTAGAACAGCATAAATTCCTTCACCCTTGTATGATAACTCTGAAGTCCACGACCAAAGCAGCGCTGCGCCAAGCGTCAAAGCTGGTGTGCGCACACCGGCAGAATCGGCACAGCCGGGCCAGCCTACCCGTCCCTGAGTGGCCACGGATGAACCCACCCTGCTTCTTGGCCGTGTGCACATGCACTGGTCCCCAGGACCCTTAGGCGGAAGCCCCCAAACACAGAGGCAACTTGACCAGACTCTCTGGATCTGGCGTGGGAAGGCCAGGTCAGCTCTGCTCCTTGGAGCGATGGCCACTCTAAAGAAGTGTCGGGAAAGACGCTGCTGAGCAGCATAAAAGAAATCATTTCTGTATGAGACAGCGAGAGAGAGAGAGAGAGAGAGAGAGAGAAAGAGAGAGAGGAGAGAGGACACTAAAATTCTCGTGCCAAAACTTCAAGCCCTGATATAATGACCAGACTACGGTGGACTCAACGCTTCAAATGGAGGACGACGCGCTGACTGGAGGAGGGGTGTGCATCTCAGAAATCACAACTTCCTTCTGAGCCCCAAGAGTAAAAGAAACAAGCAAGCTGGACCACAGAACCGTTGCCACGGAAAACATGTGGCCCAAGTCCACGTGTGAGCGTAAAGTACACGCATTCGAGGGTACCCAGCAACTGGACGTTAGCCCTGGTAATGTCACAAAACTGGCTCTCACGGGAAACTGAATTCGAATCAGTCTTTGCACAGGTATCTGGTACTTTACAGCTGTTAAAATATGGCAAATGCGTGAAAAATACTCATTTTCAAAGTAATGGGGCTAAAGTTGAATTAACAATAACCACGACAACTATTAATAGTACTCAATACAGCACATGGTATTTGCCAGGCTCTGTTCTAAGCACTGTATAAATATTAACCACTGAAATCAGTACTATCTATTGTTATTATTATCCCCATTCTACAGATGAGGAAACTGAGGCAGAGAAAGAAACAAGGTCACATAAGTGGTTAGGAGCAGAGTTTGGCTCTAGAGCTCCTACTATAAACCAATGTGCTATGCTGCCCTACTGATTAAAAAATAATACAAAAGCTTTAAGAGAGAGAAAAACTTTTTCATAAGATTCTACACACTTCATAGTATCTCCCGGGCAAAATCTATCTACCTTTTTAACAACCACAGAGATTTGCTTCTGACTTCTCTGCCTGGGGCAGAGCAGATCTTCATCACCGTAAAGTCCAAACACAGTTTTAGATTCCACATCTGGCGACATCTTCTTGCCAGGAGAGAAATAGTAGAAATCTCCCTCTATATCCTGGGGGCAGGGCCCGTGAGCCCGGTGCACTTGCACAAAGTCTCACGAAAGGTGGTCACTGCCCTTGAGTTCCATTTAACTCAGGTTACCATGTCCCAGTCAAACAGGTGCACATAGCATCTACTGAGGACAGGGCGCTGCATTACGTGCAGAGAAGGAAAAAAGAAATGGGGCAACAGTGCAGCCTGAAAGACTTTTAAATAAAAGTAATGTAAGGTCCAAGTGGAAGGGAGGGGAGACAGGAGAGAGACATGGTCTAGGGTTCTTTGCAGGGAGGAAAATCACACTGGGTGTTAGTACTTAAGGCTTCCAGAGCAGTTCACGAACTCTCCTGCTTTTTTCTCATACGTACTCAGCATATGAACCTGCAACCCCACTCCTAGGCATTCACCCAAGACAAAGGGAAAACTCAAGTTGCCATAAAAATCTGTACATAAAAGTTATAGGAGTTTTATTCATAATTGCTAAAAAAATGGAAGCAAACCCCAAATCCTTTAACTGGTGAGTGGCTAAGCAAACTCTACGTCTGCAGGATGGACCAAGACTCAGTGATACAAAGGAAGGAACAACTGACGATACCATGAAACAGAATGGATCAATCTCAAGTGTGTCATGGTAATAAGTAAGAAAAGCCAGACTCAAAAAACTACATGCTGCATGATTCCACTTACAGAACATTCTGGAAAAGACAAAATTACAAGGACAGAAAACGCAGCAGTGGTTTCCAGGGCTTGGGGCTAATTGGAAGGCTTGATTACAAAGGGCCACAAGCAACTTTTTTAGGTGATGGATATTTATATCTTATGGGAGTGGTTGCACAACTGCACGCACTTATTAAGACAGCTATATACTAAAAAGGGCGAATTTTACTATGCATAAATCACACATCAATAAATCTGATTTTCTAAAGGCAGCTCAGAGCAATCCTGCCAATTATCTCATGGAATGGGGCTACTGTTACTTTCTACAAGGTTCTACAAACCACGTATCTTCCTTCCTTTACTAACTCCCACCCCTATATCTTCTCACACAATATTTATAGGAAGATTGTTGGTTGTTCATTTGTAGGAGAAAAAGCTCCTTTAGTCATAAAATTTCGTAAAGTAAACTCTGCATATTTAGATAATAATGGGAACTCTCTCGTATTAAAAATAGACGAGTAGGTGGCTCTTTCTCCTCATGCTAAATACGTACCTGCTAATCACTGCGGAAAGAGGGCAAGTAAGAATTTAATAGCTCTGTCTACACAGAGCATCACTGCAAAACCACTAAATCACTGACACATCCAGGTACTGAGATACAAATGTTGAACTACATTCAAAGTAAGCCAAGGTTACTGCTAAAATCTTCAGGTACGTAAACCTAAAAGAAATCTTGACTGTTAAATGGCAAACCTTTAGTGAAGCAGAAAAATGAAAAAAAAAAACTTACTATACTATTGAAAAACATAACTGAACTGTGATTTGGTCCACGTAGCAGACCCAGAACAATGCAATCGATTATGGTTCTTTCCCGGATTGAGGAACCAGCAGTCCTGATGACCCAGGCGTGCTGAGTCCTGTTCCAGGCACTAGAGAGACAACGATAAACCAAACCGCCATCCTCATGGAGCTCACGTCCTCCTGGGAGTGACAAATCATAAATAAGCGATCGGACAATAAACCAACTGCCCCGTAGCAAACTGGAGGTCAGCTGACAAGAGTGGGGAAGAAAGAGCAGAGTGGAAGAACGAGGGGCTCTATTTAGACAAAGTGGCCAGGTGTCTCTGA